AGTCATGCAATGTACTGCACGCACTAGTCTCGACTAGCAGAGCACTCAAGCATATCAGTTTTCAAGACATTGCTTGTTAATGTTTCATAAAAATGCATGATTTGACTTGCTCATTCACAGTTACTGTTGGAAACTGTTGCCTTTACCAATCAGCGTGGTCTAAAAACATACAGGTAGTCCTCGCTTAGCAACCACAATTGGGACTGGCAACTCTATTGCTAGGCGAAGTGGTCACTCAGTGGATTTACGACATTACTGCCCATTTGGTTGTTAAGTGACTCATCACAGTCCTTAAGCAAAACATCACATGACTGCAACTTACAATTTTACTTCTGTATGCTCCATGAACTCTGCTTGTCACAACTCTGTTGGGAAGCATGCAAATGGCAATCGTGGGATGTTGTGAAGGTCCTAAATGTGAGGATTGGTTGCAAAGCTATTCTTTTTTACACCATCGGAACTTCAAATGGTTGCTGAATGAGGCAGTCAGTAAGTGTGTATATATTGGTGTGTATGTGAGTGTGTGTATGGGTCTCTCTCTCTCTCTCTCTCTCTCTCTCTATCTCTATCTCTATCTCTATCTCCTGTATCTTTATGCCTTCCAGTCAGCACTGACTCCTAGCAACTGCCTGGACAAGTCCCTGCAATTTTCTTTGCAAGGTTTTTTGGAAGTGGTTTGCCATTGTCTGCTTCCTGGGGCTGAGAGAGAGTGACTGGCCCAAGGTTCCCCAGCTGGCTTCGTACCTAAGGCAGGACTAGAACTCACAGCCTCCCAGGTTCTACCTGATGCTTTAACCACTGCATCAAACTGGCTCTCTAGACTAAGAGTAGACAGAAACAAATGCCCCTTTCTCCATTCCTGTTCAATTTGATGAAGGAGAATTTGCTTCAGAACTTGATTTCAAAGAGTATGGTGATTTGGTGAAAAAGTGGTTTAGGGGATATATGGGTGCACGATGGTGTGAATGTTCTGTCTTTCATTTCAGAATCCTCTTTAGATCTTCCTTAGCAATCTGAAACTTTCCCAGTTTCCCACCCTTCCATTTAATTCTAGAGGAAGACATCACAAGGGAATTATTCCCATGAAGATTGGGAGGGGTGGGCAGATAAGAGCCTTCCCAATGATAGCCAGCTACATCAGAGAAAACATTAGCTCCTTCTATCCCCATCAGTAATAAAGCAAACTTAAAATCACAGCAGGAGAACTTTGAAAGAAATTCTCAAGCATCCTGACAGTGAGGTAGAACAAAACAGAAGCCTCTTTCACAGGGGAAAAGAAGCTCAAGAAACTGGCCCAGCATTTAATAAAACATCTAAACTGGGCAAATGTAATGCAAACATCTAAACTGTGTAAGCTTTCTTGTGCAAGCCACGGCATTCCCTGTGACACTCAAGGGAAGTGAAAGTTGGGCTTTGAAGAAGCAGGATAGGAAGAGTATCGACTCTTTTGAACTTTGGTGTTGGAGAAGACTCCTAAGAATACCATAGACAGCCAAGAAAACAAACAGATGGATCTTCAAAGAAATCAACCTAGAGTTCTCACTTGAGGCACCAATGACCAGGCTCAGATGATCCTACTTCAGACTCATTCATTCATTCATTCATTCATTCATTCATTCATTCATTCATTCACTTATTAAATTTCTCACCCACCCATCTCCCCCCAATGGGGAAACTTTGGGTGACTCACAACAAACATGAAAAACATAAATATATATAAATACATAAAACATCAGTTAAAAGCATTAC